GGGAGGGGGCCCAGACACCTGACTGGCACAAGCCCCGGCTGGCGCCCAGGCAGAGGCTTCTGCGGGCTCAGAAGCTGGTCTGTGGCTTTGTAGCCCAGGGTCTAGAGAGCCCAGAACTCCCCGGAGCACCATGCAAAGCTCACACGGAGGACCTCAAGGCTGGGTGAGAGCAGGTGACCAATCCTGAGGACCTCTGCTGAACCCTGCGCTGGACACACCCAGAGCCAATCAACCCTGGAGGCCTTTGGTGGGAGTTCGGTTTTCTACTAGACACGCCTGAAAGAGCCTGTGTGACCACCCATGAGGAGGACAGCTGCTCATCATCATCCTACCACCTGCCATCTCCCTCTGCGGGACTCAGGAGGTGCTGCCTGATTCTTAGGGCACAACTTTATCTTCTCATCCCAAACCCCCACCCTCCACACCAGCACTTCTCTCATATCAAATACAGGGCCAGGTCATGGCCAAGCATATGGTGACATTTAACCATGGCCCACTGGCCATCTGAGAAAGCCGGAGATGGCACCCAGGCATCTGGTCTACACTGGGCAAATCAACTCCCAGCATCGACCGTCGTCTGGGGACACACAGCCCTTGAGGAGTCCTGAGGAGGCCCTCTCAGAGACTTGGAATATGCTGCTGTTAGGTGTGCGTACCTGACCAGAGAAATCTGCTCTGAAAATGCCAGTGAGCTAAGTCATCTCCAGAACATTCTGACATCAGCAGCTCTGGGAACCACCAGCCCTGAATCCTAGCTGAAACACTCACTGGAGGCCAACCAACTGTGATACTACAAACAAGACAGGTGGTTGGAACGTGCTGTGTAGACACTAAGTCAATTCGGGGAAACACTTACACGTGCCTCCTAAGTGACTATCAGCGTGCAAAAAGTGTCTAAAGAGAAAATGAACCAGATTGACGGTCAAAAAAAGAACACGTATAAAATGACACAATTCTGGATTCTTTCCTCTTCTTTTTTTATTTTTATTTTTTTAGAGAGAGAGAGAGAGTGAGTGAGCACAGGGGCTGGGGCTGGGGATGAGGGGGAGAGAGAGTCTCAAGCAGGCTCCACGCCCAGCACAGAGCCTGACATGGGGCTCGATCTCACACCCTGAGATCATGACCTGAGCTGAAATCAAGAGTCGGATGCTTGACCAACAGAGCCCCCCAGGCGCCCCATCTGGAGTCTTGATTTAACAAATGTTAAAGTTTCCTTCATCTGGTAACTGCTCTTCCCAGCAGAGTGGCCACCTTGGAAGGCCACAGCTCATTCACGCTGGGTGGCCACTGTCTGTTACCCAAGCTACCGCTTGGGGAAATGCTCTCTGACCTGAGGCACATTCTTTTAAATGATGTCAGTGAAGCCTAATTTTTGTCCTTTGAGAGTAATGTTGACTTTTGCAAACAGCCAGCTGTGGTTTGGGTGGCGGGGGGGCAAGAGTGCGACAAAGTAACAAGATAAAATAAAATAAAATAAAAGTGATAAAACTCAGTCTTGGAGAGGATGTGGGTAAAAAGGAACACAGCGGCTCATGCCCTGTGAACTGGTTCCATGTTTCTCAAGAGCCATCTGGCAGTGAAAACCTCACACCCTTTGACCCAGTAATCCCTCTTTACGGACACACCCTCAGGAAATAACCCAAGAGAATACAACAAGGCTGTGTGCAATAACCAAAAAACTGAAAACAAGCCAGATGCCAAACAATGAGGCAGCTTAGCAGTCTTGAAGCAGAGGGCTTCCTGGCAGGGAACCCCCAACACAACATCACTCCACCTTCCCAGCCTTAGTCCTCATATCTGGAAAATGGGACACAGCATGCCAAATTTGGAGGGTTTTTATGAAGACTAAATGAGACCCGAAACGTGAAGGTACCCAGTGATCAGTCACGCTGAGAGCACGTGCCTTGATATGATGTGATGAGAACAAGCCTGCACCCATGTGGTCTTCCTCCCCCAAACCTGCAACCCCACTTTCACTAGGAGGAAAATATTAGCCAAATTCCAATAGAGGGGCATCCTGCACATAACTGGCCGGCACTGCCAAGGTCATCAAAAACAGGAAAGTCAGGGCGCCTGGGTGGCTCAGTTGGTTAAGC